CATTTCGCTATATGACACCAAAATTAACGGAAAGCACTTTTAAACACGATGATAGCTTTTATTTTGAAATAAATGTGATCTAGAAACTTAAACTCAAATTATCAACTCAGTTCTTACCCTTCCTTTCTATCATCCATTCGTTGTCCCCCGTCTCCATTGCAGTGCAATCTCGCGAAAATTGGTCCTCATTCATTTTCATTAGCCATGGTGACAGTCGCTTATAAGACAACGAGAGTAACAGCCGTAAAAGCTAAGCCAAAGTTTGTTTTAATGCTTAAATTTTGTGACACAAACGGAAAAACTGGAGATGAGTATGCTTAAAGTAAATGATTGGCATATGTATTCAACTAGGTTTCAATACTTACTGTGGTATCGCGTAATGCCATTGTGAACATTTTTGATGGATCTTCTCTAATTTTTGTGAATTAGCATTATTTTAGAGGTTGAGAATGAGGCTCGTTCGCACTGCGATTTTTTGTTAAAGATCTCCTTTCCGTAATTTCGAAATCTAGTCATGGATAATTGCGAAGAAAATGAGAAAACTACAATATCCTCATACCGACAAAAGCAAAATTGTTAAGATTCCTAATTTCGCTATCTGACCGCAGAAAATTTGGGTTTCCAAATACCTTCGGCTATTAATACTTGAATTTGCAGTTTTTCACGATCCTTGAGGCTACATGAATCAGAACTGCATTTGTAGCGAAATCCAACTCAGACAATATGAACCGATTGTAAGAAAGCTGTTGGCATTAAATGAAATCGACTCCTGTTTCTTATGTTTCTGTCTCGGGTAACATTAGCTAGGAACTCAAGATAATTTGATAGCTGATAAGCGATTCGGAACGTTTGGTCAAAAGTAAATGCAATGTAGTCGGGTCAGGCAGACCAAGTAAAATGAGAAAATATGTTTGGCTCAACAAGCCCAAACAAAACAGTCGTAAGGAATGCTTGCAAATTTAACGCAGGGGAAGGTACTGCAAAACCTCTAGCATAGTCGTAACATCCTCTACCTCAAATCGTGGCGAGTATCGAAGCGCTCCTAGTGCTAGCAGAAACACACCTAAGAAGAATGAT